GGATGGTGGCCGGGCAGCCCCTTCCTCTGGACCAGGAGCAGTGGGCTGGCTGCTCAGAAGCCCCTACCTCTGGGCAGGAATTCTTTAAATGCTGAGAACTTGATTAGCTCCAGTACAGTGGTCTGGTTGTCCAGTGTCCTCTGTGTCTTTGTAGTGTGGAACCAGGTGGCTGTACAGAGATGAGGCCAAAGCAGCATGGGGGGGCAGTGGATTGCTGGGGCATGGGCCAATTAGGTGTTTTCAACGCGACTGGCAACCTTGGGACCACGTCTGCAGACCTGCCTGTCTGCAGCGGGCTGATTTGATGTTTTCAGCATGACTCGGAATGTTATAATACAATTTTCAATTTTTTCTTTTCTTGTATTTTGTCTCATCCAGTAGACTCAAAATACCTCAAGATGGGATTTTTTAAAAATGATACTTCCCTAGCAAATATAAGCAAGTTCGTATAGGTACTAAACAAATACAGTATTGCCTATATAAATTCATGAATGAATTTGGAGACATTCTTAAGGCTTATATGCACATCTGTGATATTTGTGGTGGGCCAGTGGGCTTGATTTTGGCTGAAGTCGTCCTGCTCTCTTGGTACCATCTCAATAAAATTAATCCTTGAAGTAATTAAAATTTGTACACTTTAACATTTCCAACTTCCCTCACTTCTTATTTTCACTTGATCTATTGCTAAATACATTTCCTTTAGTTTATACTTGCGTGTTTGAAAATTCAAATCTTCCTTTTATTTCTGCTTGGCATTTTTACTTTGTCATTTGCATTCTAAAAAAGTTGCTGAATTTTTAAATTCCTTAACAAAGTTTATTGGGAACTTAGGGAAAATTTGAAAAGATGTGAACATTTTAGGCAGCTAAAAATGTTTTTAAAATTTTACTTGTGAAATAACTTCTATTCTTTCATTTACCTAGATAATTACAAATAGTCCTTTCAATTTCATTCAAGTTGGTTTAACAGTACTTGATCTATGGCAGGGTATTGCCAGTCCCTGGCTTGGAGAGATTCATTATCTATCCTTCTTTCCCTCATACTCTTTCTCTCCTTCCTCAGGGGACTCTCTTCATAGTTGGAGTGGGGACAGATGTGGGACAGAATGTGAGAGACCCTGTCATATATTCAGAGCCATACTGGCTGGGAGAGCCACGTACTACCTGAATATGAAGGTAAGAAATGATGACATCTAGCATTTCTGAAGCAGAGATTTTCATAAAGGAAATTGTATCTCCAGGTTTTGTTTTTTGTGTGTTTGTTTGTTTGTTTTGGTACCAGGGATCAAACTTGGGTCCTTGTGCTTGCACAGCAGGTGGCACAACCACTGAGCTAAATCCCCAGCCCAGTATCTCCAGGTTTTTAGAAATAAGTAGCTCATAACCATTCAGAAAATGATTTTTAAAGAACTAAATCATTCTACAATATGTGACTTCAAAGAATGTATTGAGTATGTCCGATACTTTTTTCACTCAGCCATGCTACTATGAGCAAATTATCTATTGTCTATGAGGTTGGTCATAAGGTATAACATACCATTGTCACAAATTTGCTGTTTTTGTCTATATGTCATGTTATTTTTTAAATGGAATTTACTTAACATTTTCCAAAGTGTGTTCTAGGATACCCTAGGCCTGAAAGAGCCTCTGGGGGAACAAAAAGCCAAAAAGCAAATAGCTGCATGTGATTCCTGTCTTGGAGATTATATTAGAGTCATTCAGAGCAAAAGAGTAGAATACATAGGATATATATCTTATATCTCTCGTGTACATTCCCCATCTCCTATGTGTACACACACGTGCCCACACACACACGTGCACATGCACAAAGGTATTTATTAGATTAGTTTACACCATCACAGAATCACAGAGGCTGAAACTTTTCACAATGACCATCTTTGAGTTGAAGGCTAGGGAGGTCAATAACATGACTCAGTTTAAGAAATTGGCACAAGGGAAGCCAGTGTTGCAGCCCCCATTTAGAAGACAAAGCTTGAGGACATCCAGAGGACTACTGGAGCAGATGTCAGAGTCCAAAGCTGAAAAGCTGATGTCCAAGGGCAGCAACACAATAAGACCCACCTTGCTCAGGAAGAAAGATCCACAGAGTGTGTGTTTTCCTTTTCTTTCCTATTCCATCTGGGCCTCCAGCCAATTGGACAGAGCTGTCCACAGTCAGAGTGGAACATCCCTACGCAGCTTGCTGGCCCACATGCCAATCTTCTCTGGAAATATCCCATAGATATACTTAAAAGTAATCACAGTCAAAAGACATCCCTTAACCCAGTCAATCTGACAACAATAATTAACCACCACAGAGAGTAACAGTGTACATTTATGTCTATTGGCAAGGTAATACCTTGAAATAAAAAGATACCAGAAGACATTAGATTTTCTCTTAAGAATATTTGTTTAATAAAATACTTTTACAAGCTACTAAAAATAGGTAAGGCCCCAGGACTTAGATCAGCAAGATACAAAGCCAGACAAGAAACATCTACAACACAATGTATTGGAAATGCAAGGGAGTTAAAGATGGGAGAAAAGTAGAGAAGAGAAAGGAGTGACAGCAGGAGAAAGGAGAAAGTAGAGTATCTGAGTAACATGGTGACTTTAGCTCTTTGCATTATGACCATGTAATCCCCACTTACTGTGGTCTATTTCACACATAAAAATTTTCCATGAGAAGAACATGAACAATTTATTGAATTGGTCAACACTAGACCGGAGTTAGAGGAGTAACTGTAATGTGAAGTGTATCAGTTAGGGTTCACTAAAGGGACAGATTTCATATTATATATAAAACACACACACACACACATATATAATATTATACAGAAAAGATTTTCAAGGTAGATTTACAATGGCTGCCTACAGAGACTGGGTTGAAGGATGCGAAAAGGGCTGTCTGTCCCCTGGAGAGCCAGATGAATCAGACAAAAGTCAAAGCCCTGGAGCTCACTGAAGAGTCCCGTGTGAGTCCATACTGGGAGACTGGGGGCTCTGCGTTGGAAGGCTGAAGAGTCTGCACTGGAAGCCTGGAGACAGATGTCCAAGGGAATCGCAAAGACTGGAGCACCTTCAAAGAAACAAACTCGAGAGCTACTTCTTTCCCTTTTTATTCCACTCAGCCAACAAACCTAGTAGTTGGTGTCACCCACACCCACACCCGGAGCTGAGCAAAACCAACCTGCTAGGCATTTCTTATTCAAGTTGACACCACAGTTAACTATCATACACCATAAAGAACTGAGATTCAAAAACAGTAGCAATCAGAGGCAGTGACAATCACATGAATGGAAGCCTTGTAGTGTTTTATAAAATTGAAGGGGTGATAATGAATTCTTCAAGGCAAGAAGGAAAAATTTATGACAATCTTTTTAGAATCCTTATAGGACAGGAGACCCTAGCTGGCACCTGCAATTGAATGCATGCATATTTCCCATAGAAAGGTTTACTCATTTTAGGGACTTTACTAAAATATTAACAATTGCCATTTCTGGATGATAAACTCTCAAGTGGCCTCCATGTTTTTCTTTATACTGTTCCGTATTTGAATTTTCTGCAATAAATGTGTTGTTTTATAATCAGATTAATTAAATATTTTATTTTTATTTCTAAAAGTCATCTTGAAAGATTGTTTTACTCATACAGGCTTTTAATATATATTGGGCAACAGTGTACATGCCAAGATTGTCTATCCCAAGATTATCAACCAGGAAGTGTCTGGAAGTCACTGGTCAAGGATACCCCTTATAAGTCCACATGTCTTAATAGACAGTCCATCTGGGGTAGGATTGCTATCTGCTTTTGGAACTTATATATCAGCAAGTCATCTAATTGCAAATTCTAAAGTCATTGCAATACATGCAACTTAAATTTTGTGAAAATATATTCATACTATTTCCATTTTGTTTTAAACTAGATTGCAAAAAAAACCTTTTCCCATTTGATCCATAAATCTTCATCTCAGCTTTAGGTCATAACCACATTTTCATGAATTTGACCTCCATGTCTTTGGTTAAGCTTGGATCACTGCAATTCTCTTAGGTTTGACCTATCACATAGCATCCTAGGGCTGTTCCCCTGGGCTTTGTTTCCACCCACATTATTTCTTTTCTCTTGTGTATTCCTCAAGAGACAGCTCAACATGGGGGTTATGACCATGCCATTGGAAACCAAATGGTTGACTTTGAATCTGGCTGTTTAATAGCAGTGTGATGCTGTATAAGTAACTTGGCCTTACTAGCTTTCAGTGAATAATAATTTAGAATATATTGCAGAAATAAAAATATAGTAGTTCTTTCCTCAGAGGTTATTGTGAGGATTAATGAGATGATGCATGGAAAATCATTACTAAATTCTCTAGCACATCATGAGTGCTCAGGGTTCTTGTGGTGTCGGTTTAATATCATCACAAATTCTATTTTCCTCCTACCTTCCAGGGCATTCTTGCTGCGTGGATAACAGAGTCTATGGAATCTCCACCTGTTCCAACCTTCAGCTCTTTTCATCATGATGCAATATAAAGAGCAGGGACTTTACAGACAGATAGACCTGACTTAGCACTGTGGCAACACAACTTACTCTGTGAACCTTGGACACTTCTTAGCGTCCTTAGGAGATACGATAAAAAAACACAGTGGATGCTACAGACGAGTGCCATCCAGTGAAATGGTTTGCAAAAACATTACAATGTGTATTCATCCACCTTATTCACCGGGCCTAGCACCATGTGACTTCTGACTTTTCCTCCAAAACCAAAATGACCATGAATGGTCAAAGTTTTGTGTTGATTCAGGACATCAAGGCAGCCACAACAGCACAACTAAAGACACTCATGGTAGAGGACTTCCAAAACTGCTTCAGAAAGTGGCAAGAATGATGGGGTAATTGTATTTGAAGTGAGGGAGACTATTTTGAGAGAGAATAATGGCAATGTGTCTTTTACTGGAATAAATTTTTTAAACCATTACTTTTAAATCACAACTAAGATATATTCACAAACATGTAAAAACTTATCCAGGTGTTTATTGATGATGTGTGTACAATATTCAAAATAACTTTTACATCAATGAAATGCAAATTTCAAAAACTTAAGTAATAAATTTCTATCTCTCCATTTCTACCCCTCACTTTCTTCTCTTATCTCTGTCTTTTACTCCATGGCTCAATGAACCAGGTACTAAAACATGCCTGTATTTTCTAAGTATTTCTTTGCTCTTCCTTTCTTTTCTCACACTTCACAGAATCACTTATGAAGGAGAAGGTGGTGGGGAAAGTATTTGAGCAAACACAAAAGTAGTCATGTTCTTAAAATGTACTGTTTGTAGTTCGTAAAGTGGATCATCTCTATCATCATTATAACAGGCTGTGGTGATATTTTCCCTACAGTTGGCCGTGGATACCCACTGTGTCTCCTACTAATTCAGAGTCACATTGGATGAAGTATTGTAGAGAAACATCTCTCTAGTTCCCAAGTTATTGTCTGAGTGGATGACAATGGATTTCAGAGTATTACGTATGTAGTAGTGTGAGAAATGGGAAAATCCAGTCTTTAAACATTTTCCTACACGCAGATTTTGGCATTCACCATCTTTTTCTTTAGATCTGATTGACACCCAAGGGGAGAAGGGTCTTGGCTCAGTTTCCTGTCTCTCTGTGACTTGGCGCTGGGGACAGGCCATGATGGGGCCTGAGCAGAGGACAGCTTGCTCCCTGAACTTTGAAAAAGAGTCATCAGTAGTCAAAACACTCACTATGTTACATGGGGCTCTGTGCTCTGGGAAACTCAGTTGCCAAGCTGGGCCTGCAGCCATGGAGAGGAGAGGAGGAGGGGAAAGCAACAGGGATCTATAGTGGAGAGAGAGGAAGCAATTCAGAGAAGGCTGCACAGAAGTAAGCATTTTCTTTCTTTCTTTCTTTCTTTCTTTCTTTCTTTCTTTCTTTCTTTCTTTCTTCTTTCCTTCTAACTTTCTCTTAAAAGAGCAGACGAGAGAGGGAAATTGGTCTAGGACAAAAGAGAAAGCAGAACAGAGTGGCAGTGGTAAGGTGGGAAAGACAGAAACCAACTACTAAAGAATAGTTACTTGACAACCTCCAAATCATAATGAGGAGAAATTTCCTGGCCTCACATTTTCCACATAAACACTCGAGTGCTGGGCAAAGTTAATGGGTCCCTGCCTGCTGTACAAGAGAACAACTTCTGTCCAAAGCCGGCAGCCATTGACGTCACAGACGGAGTGTCTCAGAGTAATGTGCTCCACTCCCCTCATTTATATGTTTGACCCTAACCTTTCCCAGATGTGCAACCATTCTTCCTTCCAAAAAGGGAGTTTCAACACTGGGTATTGTGTGCTTTCTGAATACAGGCCTGCAGCAAAAACAAAAGTCCACGCTCCCCAGTCTTGGAACTGGGCTTGTGGGCTGGAGTCCCCCTGGGCTTCTTAGTGTCCCCCCTGGAGGCTTGTATAATGGGGCTTCTGTCTTTAAGAGCTTGTTATCTCACACCTCCAGCTGCTCCTAGCATCTGGCTGGCCGCTCCGCTCCTCTTTGTCTGGGGGTAGAGGTGGGTGTAGGACAAAGAAAACAGGTCCTTCTGAGCCCGCTCCAGGCTACTCCTCCACTCCTGCCCAACTTTCTTCCTGTCCTAGCTTTCCTTAGTTGTATGCTATTTGCAGTTATTCCAGCAACTTCTGGTGATTCATGGCTCTGTGGCTTTGCCCATTCTGCTCAGGCTGCTGGAATGTCTTCCCCCTTTTCCCTTCGGACTCGGTGGACACAGAGTCCTCATTTGGTTCTAAGGGTGATGCAAGCTCCCCTACTCCACAAAGCATCGTCTGCCCTCCCTGTCAAAATTGGCTGATCTCTCCACAGCTCTCCTGCACTGAGGTTTAGGGACTCCAGTCTTGCGCTTCCCAACAATGGTCTGTTTACTTCTCCCTCTCTTCTCCAGTCAAGAGTTGGCATGTCTCTTTCTTTAACTCCATTTTAAGGCCTGTAAGAATAGGGACTATCGTGCCCATCTTTGAGCTTCCAGCATTTAGTTCTGAGTCTAATATACAATATGTATTAATAAATGTTTATCAGATGAATTAATGAACCTGGGGATGATGATGTAATAGAAGTTATGTTTCTTAATGACTTTGGAAGAGTTAGTATTAACAAAATAGCAAGGCTTTGTTCTCACTGATGAAGAACAGCGTAGGAAAATAAACATTTAGCTCAACACAATAGGAAAAATGACTGCTGCCACTCCAGGCCCTTAACATGCCCGTTACCTCCTAAGTGCTTCACCCGATATTATCTCATTTTCTCCTTACCACATCACTTTTCCAAGCAGCATGGGAATTCTATCACATTGTTTATATTATTTCAAGATTCTAGACAACATGATTACGTAGCCTGCAGTGGAGACATGTTCCAAGATCTCTGGACCCTTTGGAAGGCCCTAAATCCCTTTGCTGCAAAGCAAGTGTACTGTCTGTTACACAGCAGCTGAACAAAAGCTCGAGACTTCCATATTCCCTCTGCGCTTAGTACGTGAAAATCAAACTTCCCTCCCCTCCACACTTGGAGTGATCAGCCCTGGGTTCCCCAAACCTAAACTAGTCCTGTAATGTGAGACCCACAGAGACCTCACAGGGGCCACCAGCTGGGATTAATTAGTCTATCCTTTCCCTAGAAGATAACAGCATGTGCCTAAGGCAGAGCTACTCACATTTTGAAAAGCTTACAGTCCATACTAGGCTTCTGTTTTAAAGAAAGAGGACTGGAGTTTTAGCAAAATTCCCAAGAGAGGAAGAAATGAAGCCCGCCAAGGAAGCATCGATCTATCTGATTTGGGTCCAGGTACCTATTGCATGACTTCTTTGTCCTTCTCCTCAAGGAATCTGACTGTAATTATGTAGAGTGCAAAGCACATAAAGGAGAGATGCTACCATGTTGTGGTTGCTCTAAACAACCAGGAAGTGATTGTCTTTAGGGGGTATTAATGGATGATTTCCAGGACTTTCAGCAACCTAAAGGCAGGAGGCCACAAGAAATTGGCTTGTTATCACTTTTGTTAGTGGAGTTGGGATGGTGAGAAGTCTCCTTGTCTGACCATTGTCTAAGGGAACTGGAAGAGGTGATTTCTTCCTGGGATGAAACCTTTCCTGCTTCCCTCTGGAAAAGACGTCCACAGGCATTTTCAAATGACTGCCTCTCTCTGGGTGATTAGACCTCCATTTCAGCACAGTGAAAGGCTAAGTGGATTAAATGTTTCAGAGTTATTCCACATTCATAATTATGTAAAGTCACAAATTATGTAATATAATTATATGATATTTATAAATATAATTGAAATTATGCAAAATAACAGTGTTAAACAGTCCTTGAATATTCTGTTCCCATTTTCCTAAGCAGCTTCCTTAAGACCAACATTTACCAAAATAGGACAAAGTGGCTTCCTAGTGTTATGGGATTTTCCCAAGGAAGCTGTGAATTTATGAAGCTGGGAACACTGTAGGAAATTCATATTTTTTAATCAAAAACAAAATATGTATATTTTTCCATAGTTATGGTTGATCGGGACGTTAAGATTACACTTTTAATTTCAAATTCTTTGTTATTTTGCTTTAAATGTAATTTCAGCATTGGGCATAATACTTTAAGAATGTGAACATTTTCAAATCATGGAATTAGTCTTGTATTAACTGATCTATCCAAGGAGGTAGTTAAGAGAATGATGGCAAAGATAAAAATAATTCCCAGCCAAATCAGATAGAGGGACAAGAGGAGGAGGAGAAGGGAAAGAACAAAACACAAAATGAACACAACAAAACAGAGAGAGGAAACCTGGGAAAGAGAAGTTATCGGATTGCTTCCCCCACCAGGAAATTATTACTAAGTTAATTCAACAGTACAGGGAAGAATGGAGTCAACACATTCTCCCTCAGATGAGAGATTTAACTCTCACTTGCAAATAACATTCCATACCAGCAATAGGGTGGGAAAGAATAATAAAACACACTAATGCTGCTTTAGGGATTTGGTTCCTTGAATATTGTCTCTAATAAGTATTTATGATGTGCCTACTATGCAAAAGATGGTCCTGACACTTGGGCCTATAAAGATGAACAGGTCACTTGACCTTCCATCCAGGGAGCCACTCGTCCTCTGGCTCTCTGAAGGGGTATAAATCAATGAAATGAAAAGGGAGACCAGAAAAACCGCTGGCCAAAAGTGAGTCTCACCTGCCTCCCAGTGCCAAACTGCAGAACATTAGGAAGCACTTTATATCAAGTCCTCTTGTGTATAGCTGTTTGCTCTTTTTATTTCTTTATCAGATTAAAGAAGAATTCTGTTTAATATTTTAAAGAAATTTCCATACTGTTTTCCATAGCAGCTATACCATTGTGCATTCTCACCAGCAATGCACAAGGATTTGTTTGTCCACATCCTCTTCAAAACTTCTTTTCTTTTCTTTTTTTGGAGAATGGCATCTTATTATGGTCTGAAGTGATGTCTCATTGTACTTTTAATTTACATTTCTTAATGATTCACAACACTGAGCATCTTTTCCTATGTTCCTTGGGTCTTTGTATATCTTTGGAGAAATGTCTATTCAAGTCCTTTACCTATATTTTATTTTATTTCATTTTTGATACCAGGGATTGAACTCGGGACCTTGCGCTTGCGAGGCAGCCGATGGAATCACTGAGCTAAATGCCTGGCTTTTTACCTATGTTTTAAGTGAGATTATTTGTGTTTTAATTGTTAGGGTTGTAAGAGTTCTTTATATATTTTGGATTCAACTGATTATAAAGATATATAGTTTGAAAATATTTTCCTCCATTTCATACCTTATGTTTTCATTTTATTGATCTTTGCTTTTGCTGAGCAGAAGTTTTATGAATGAGTCATTGGTCCTTTTGCTTTTGTTGCTTGTTTTCAATGTTGTATACAAGAAACCATTGCTACGTCCAGTGTCAGGAAAGTCTTTTTCTCTGTTGTCTTCTAAGAATTTTATAGTGTCCCATCTCATATTTAGGTCTTCAGTCTATTTTGAATTATTATTTGTATGTAGTGTAAAGTAAGATCCCATTTTTATTCTGCTACACTGTGGATACATGTTTTTCCAAAATCATTTGTTGAAGAGACTATCCTTTCTCCATGTCATAGTCTTTCACCTCTGAAAATTATTTGACCATTTATCTGTGGGCTTAGCTCCGAGTTCTCTATTCTGTTCTTTTCGTCTTTGCCAGTTTTATGCTAGTACATACTGTTGGATTACTGCAACTTTGTAATACATGGACTTCAAAGTCAGGAGGTGTAGGACTTAGTTTTCTTTCTCAAGCTTGTTTTGGTCATGCAGTGTCCTTTGTGACTCCATTTGAATTTTAGCATGCCCTTTTTCCTATTTCTGCAAAAATTCCATTGATATTTTGACAGGGATATCATTAAATCTTTAGATCATTTTGAACAGTATGGGTGCTTTAAGCTATTTAAAATCCAAAAACTCAAGATGTTTCCCCATTTTTTTGTGTCTTAATTTCTTTTAGCAAGGATTTGTAGTTTTCAGGATACAAACCCTTTGCTTCTTTGGTATGTTTATTCCTAAGTATTTTATTCTTGTTGATGCTACTGTTAATGGGATTGTTTTATTAATTTTCTGTATGGATGGTTCATTATTAGTGTATATAAACAAATTAACTTTTTGTGTTGAATTTGTATCCTGCAACTTTGATGAATTTGTTTTCTAGTTCTGACAGGTGCGTGTGTGTGTGTGTGTGTGTGTGGTGCGGGTGTGGGTGTGTGTTATCTCTAAAATTTTCTACATACAAGTTTTTCATCCTGGATTATAATGTTGACTGGAGGGTTTTTACAAACTTCTTTTATTATGTTGAGATAATTTT